ATTATTCATTGGTTTAATTCAGTTTTAAGGGGTGGGAGGGTTAGGGATCGGGATGTAAGATGTTTTAACTTGTGTTTTAATTATGCTGTAACCCACCCCAATTGCCGAGCAGAGGGACGGGCTAGAAATAAAAATAATTGTTGTTGTTGTTGTTCATATTTGTTTATTTGATTTATACCCTGCCCTTCCTCATAAGAGTTGTGGATGGCAACTGAGCTTAAGACTCATCGTACTAGTCACTCTAAAGACTTGACTTAAAATGTGGAACACAGATCCACAAAATAAAAAGATAGCCAGTAACAGTGCCAGTGGCAGATTTCCCTTACCACTTGTTACTTTTTTGAGGACCCTATGAATGAGAGACCTCCAAAAGTCCTGGTCATCAAATGCCTTGCTCAGTTCTTGCAAACTCAGGACCTTGATTGAATCAATCTACCTGTATTGTGCATTTTCTGTTTTCCTGCTGCATGCCACTTTACCAAGCATTATAATATTTTCCAGTGAGTCATGTTGTCCCATGTCCAAATTATTACAGTCTCAGTATAACATCTTGGCTTCTAGTGAGAATTCAGGCTTTTAAGGCCCATTCATTTGTCTTTTTAACAGTCTCTGCTATCTATAAACTCTTCCCCAGCAACACATTTCAAAGTGAGTTTATTTTCTTCCTCTCTTTCTTCCCTGTCCAGCTTTCATAATTATACACAGAAATCAGAAATGCTATGGTATGGATGATTGCGACTTTGGAATTTGATATATCTTTAACCTAATCCCTTAAATCTACTCATTTAAGTAAAAGTCTTAGGGCCTAAGCAGAGTGCCAGAAATAGTGCACATTAAATTGAGGCACTGCCCTGGCTCAGTGCTAGGGAATCATGGGAACTGTAATTTATTGTGGCACCAGAGCTCTCTCACAGAGAAGGCTCAATGTCCCAGAAAAAAGTACAGTTCCCATGATTCCCTAGCACTGAGCCAGGGCAGTGTCTCAATTTAATGTGCACTATTTCTGACAGTCTGCTTAGGCCTTTAGTCTTTTTCTGTTTTATTGACTACAGTCTCCATTTTGATTAATGATTTGCCCAAGGTATAGAAAATCTTTTAACTGTTTCAATGTCTTCATTACCTACTTTAAAGTTATATAAATTGTAGGATCTCTATAATTATGCCCCTGGCTTGTCAGGCTAGAGTTTTGAAAGCATGGCTTGACAGAAGAGAAATACCTCCAATATCTGATGGGGAGGGGGAACGACAAGATGTGTCTTGCAAAAGTGAGCAAAAAAAAGAGAAGAATAATAATGAAAAGCCATCATATATCTTTAAGATGCCACAGGACTCATTTCAACATAACCACTAAAATTATTGTACCTTAAGAAATATTTTTAGTAAAATTTGTAGGTATAAGTCAGACAATTTCTATCAAATCAGATAAGAAAGTACACCCTACTAAAGTATTCAAGATATGCAATAGATGCATTTTTTATAGCTTAGATCAGGGGTGACTGACCCCATGCCCTCAAGATATTTTGGGCTGTGGTAGTTCCCATCAGCTCCAGCCAGTAGGTCAAGTGGTAAGGGATTATGGCAGTCTAAAGCATCAGGAAGACAACAGATTATCTACTCTAGCCCAAGGAATTGCATGTTGACACCTGCAAGCTGTATGTGCATGTTGTTTTGTCCTCCACAAGACTGTACTGATTCACTTTCCAAAGGTAAGCAATAGTGGAGCTTAGCATAAATACATGTCTATTTGTTAAATTAAACAGCATAAGTAAGGCACAGTTGTGAAAGTCAGCATGGTGTAATGGTTTGACCATTGGACTAGGACTTTGGGGAACAGGGTTCAAATCCCCCCTTGGCCATGGAAGTCACACATTCTCTCAGCCTTAGGGGAAGGCAATGGCAAACCTCCTCTGAACAAATCTTGCCGAGAAAACCCCAAGATAGGTTTGTTTTAGGGCTGTCATAAGTCGGAAACAACTTGAAGGCATACAACAACAGTGTACAATAGCTAACTAATCTTTCATGACTCGTATAATAGATAATATCAGCTGATTCAAAGGCTACAGTTGTTATGTGATGGGAGCAGCACTATTCTGTCCTACCTCATTATCTTACCCCATGTTTTATAGCCAATGTAAACTAAGTAGAAAGAAGTGACAGATTCAAACTGTATATTTCTGTAGTGTGCCACAGCAGAGTAGTGGTAAATTTTGAACTGCAGACATTTATCATAACAGTTTCCATAGCTGTAACCCCAAAGATGGTCCAAAAATGTAGGCAGCCTTTGTTGATCCATACTTGTATGTGTGGGTACTTCATATGTGTATATCCACACCCACTCAATATCTCCCAGGAGTTTCTTGGGCTAGTGCAGTGGCAAAACAATTTATTTCAGAGTCAACAAACTCTTTCAAGCAGTTGTCTCTCTCAGCTGCAGGTGTAGCTATGGGAGCAGAGAGCAAAATGAAAGTCTTCCCCCCAAATGAAAATTCTGCCCCACCAATAAAATTTTCTTTCACTCCTCAAATTTTTAGCATCAAGGAGAGTGAAACAATGGAAATCATTTGTATCATATTTGCTGTGTTCACATTCCCTTGGTAACTTTGCCTGCCTAAATTGTATTTCTGACAGCTCAAAAAAGTTTTAAGTTTCATACTGCAATTCTAGACATTTAAGGACTGAAAGAAAATTTAATTTTTGTGTGTGCTGGGGGGGTAGTAGAATTCCTTTTGGGGGGATAATGACATTTCAGCTAAACTCAGAGAAAACATAAAAGTTGGGTAATGATGGTGGCAGAT